ACACACACATATATATATATATATATATATATATATATATATATACAAATATAAATCGTAAATTAATCGTATATGTATATTAATACTTTCCTCTCCCTTTTTGGTGCTTGCATCAAATTAAATATACAAAAGTGATTTTATATATATATGTAGAAAGCATATTAAATGCAAGTAACATGTCTACTTTAATGTTTCAAATAACTTTTGTGAAAATAAAATATAGGTGAAATAATGTTCCATCGTCATTCAGTGACATATAATTATGTAAAAATGATTCTGAGCTGTACCTATTAAAATATATAAAAGAAAATGTGATCTTACTACATTTTATATAGTTTAATTTTATGATAGTTATTATTGTTTGCTCAGAAAAAAATAATTAAATTAAACGTTTATTGTTTTGTCTTTGATCAATGCAAATTTTATTCAACATATATACAGGAGTTACTGTATATATATATATCCGAGCTGTCTCATATAACCTTGAAAGGATTTATGTTGTGCTAATGACTAGCTGATTGCACATGTCCTCACTTATTACACAACTGCTTAGCACATAAATAAGCAGACATGAATTATTGATTTGAGTTGAAATAATTTTATTACGTGAGGAGAAAGAGACCGTGGAGTGACACGACTGGAAACTCGCACAGCTCTTTAGGAAATCATTTGAGGGGGACAATGGTCAATTTAGCCGCTACAGTTTAGCGTTATTATACAAAATATTGGCAGACCAAAAAAAGCGGATGACCAATCACAGCAGCGTAATGAGCTCAACTCACTGCCAGCCCTTCTGAAGCAGTCCGTCTGCCACATTCACAAACATTACTGAGTGAGAATGAGCAGAATCTGTCTCTGGTCACTATGAAGTGCTCGTTGTGAGCTGCTGCTTTTACAGACTATATGTTGAACTGCTGGATAATGCAGCGGGATACAGTATAATGGATTTTATTACAGCACATTACGGTGCATTATATTATGAGTCTGTGATTCACACTTCATTGCATTATATTAAAGTATACTTGTAATATCAGCTCAGCACTGAGGAAATTACACTGCTGTGATGAATCTGTTCTCAAATCAGTCTTAATAAGGAACTATAGAATATTCATACATCAAAATAAATCTTCACAATTACACTTCAGTTGAACTTAACCCTTTAAATATCATCACTAATGGTTAAAACCCTGACGACTTAGACAGTTCCAGATGCAAAGCTGTGTCAAAAAGTAAGCAACAACAATATGCAATTTTTTTTTCCTGCACAATACCTTGTTTTGTCCAAAACTAGGGTAGCATCATATATTACGTATACTGCTACAAATCAGGCACTTATGAGGGTTCCTTTCAGTTAGGATGCTGCCTAAGTTCTACACTAAATTTTGGAACAGAGCCAAGTCAAGTATGGAAACTGCATCCAGAGAAATCGAACAAGTTTAACACATGAAGTGTTTGTTTATTGAACGTGCTTTAACACTAGCAATATCAGATCTTTTTCGAACCATATGTAGATCCATTTGCCAGATTTTCCCCAATAGTTCTTAGGATCTACTTAGGATGTATTAACGTGTTATTTTGTTGTGCTTAATCTAGCAGCACTCTTCATACATTCATGCATTATGTACCGCAGTGTTTTAAGGTGCATATGAGCTACACCTCATGTGCTGGTCATTAATGATAGCTTGAGCAATGCAGCATTATCACCCACTAGCATTGCGCTTGGCTTTCTAATCGGATCAGCGTGCTGTTATTTCTCAGGCAGACATGATATTTGCTGTGCCAGCATGTGCTTTGTGTTTGCATATGTAAGGGGGCGGTAGTAATTTAACTTTGTAAACTCTTGGACCTGCTCAAATGGCCATTGCACAACTAATATTTGTTCGTCTGGACGTGAGGGGGCAGAGTCAAAAGCCAGTAATGACATTCCCTCAGTGTTCTGCTGTCATTATGACTACGACTCACAATAGACAGCAACGGAATGTGACCCTGGAGAAGCAGAGATACCTCAGAGCCCGATTAAACACAAGGACACACACTTATTCATCTAGTGCTTGGAAATTATTTGTGATCATGGTTATGAAATAACTGGTGAAGGTTTACTAGATGCCAATCAGAGCTTCCAAGGTTTTAGGGTTTGGCTACTTAGTCACTTTTGGTAAAAGAGGCATCAACTACCAAACAACTGGTCAGCAGCGTCCAAGCACAGGGGTTTTCAGACTGGGATCAAGGGGAAAAATTCAGAGAAAAAAAAAAAACTAAATAAAAATAAAATAAAATAAAAAGTTGAAACTCAATAAATAAAATGAAATTAATAATTTGTTTAAAATAAATTAAAATGATTAAAATAACTAACTAACTAAATATTATTTAAATAATTTAAAAAGCATGCTTTTTGAGAATCGCTTTTCTCTTGCTTTTAACAAAACCAATATTTAAATTTCTATGAAACATAATAAAAATAATTTAATATTTTGTGTATATTTTTATATATATATATATATATATATATATACTATTTTTCCACAGTATAAATTAGGTCCTTATACATAAAAAAAAATTCAGAATTTTATTTTTTTGCATAGGGGTCTTCTGCATGATGATGATCATATATGGTTGTCTGTGACATCTAAAAGATTGAAAACCCCTGCCTTAGCAACCAGTCAGTAAAGCATATGTAACTGTTTGCACACTGCATAGTCTAAATAATCTTCAAACTAGTCAGCATTTGCCTCGACAAATGTTTGACGGTGGCGTGTGTCTGCGGGTCTTACCTGTGCTGTGCTGGTTTGTGATTGGTGCAGATGGCCGTCTGGAAGTTGTGGCTCACACACACTTTGTGAGGAGGGCAGTGAACTTTCAGACAGGGGTCTTTAGTGCTGTCCAGCCCTGAAAAGTTAGAGAAAGACTTCATTTACTATGATAAACTAGAGCCTCCAGCTCATCTGATCTCTGTTTACGTCTCCCTCAAACACACACGCAATCTCTCTTCTTTTATATTCATGTTCTTTTCTTTCACTTTTCCTTTCCAGGAAAGAAAGACAGAGCAGATTCAGTAAGATGGCATGAAAGGAAGCGAGATAATCTTATGGAGGAGAGAAGAGCTTTACTCTGGCAAACACACAGGAGAAACAATGCAGCAGCCTTCTGGCAAACGCTTTATCATCTCACACACACAGCACCGACTTTGAGCAATAGCTCAGTGTAAACACTTCCTGACAAATAGAGGAAGAGGAGAAACACTGTCTCGCACTCTGCCATCTCTTCCTCTCTCGTGCAGGCTCCTCCAGTAGGAAGAAGGAGGATGAGGAGGAATAGCGAGTGAGCGGAGATCATTACGAGAACTCATAAGGCATTCATCTCCATCAGGAAACATTAAACACACACCTTTCCTCAGCCATTTATTGCAGTGCAAATTCAATTTCAAGCATCAGACATACAGAACTAACATTTAGCGCTGTGTGAGCTGAAACAAACAGGTGGGTTTAACAGAGGTCAAACACTCCATCACTCCCTCTGACCTTCACATGTCTGTGTGTGTGTTCATCGGGGAAGTTTGATGTCAACCTGCTGTTCATCTGGAACGCAGCCATGCCAACTGGCCTTCAGTACACACACACACATACGGTCAATTTACAGCTCTGATCACTGCTGTTAACAGAATAAATACCTCATATTTAAAGGAACCGTTCATTAAAATGAAACGTGTCATCTTTTATTTTCCCCTTATGTTGTGTTGAGCCTGTCACTTTCCTTCTTCACAAAAAAAGGTAACACTTTAGTATAGGGATCAATTCTCACTATTAACTAGTTGCTTATTAGCATGCCTATTATTAACATGTTGGCTGTTTATTATTACTTATAAAGCACATATTCTGCATGACCATATTCTACATCCCTAATCCTACCCCATACCTAAACTTAACAACTACCTTACTAACTATTAATAAGCAGCAAATTAGGAGTTTATTGAGGCAAAAGTCGTAATTAATGGTTTGTTAATAGTGAGAATTGGACCTTAAAATAAAGTGACGCAACAAAACCACAATATGATGACACAATGAATGGGTATGATACAATGAAACAATGATACAGCAAAACTGTTAAAACAATAGGATGAAACAATAATACAGCGAAACAATGACAACAAAACGATACAAACTGCTACGGTTGCCAAAGTATACCAAAGTGTTAACAATGAATCAACAAAACAATGACACAAAAAAAAAAAAAAAAAAAAAAGACTGTTAGGGCTGGGCGATATGGCCAAAAATATGATCACAATATATATTTTCCATATCATATGAAATTGCTTTTTATCACGAAATTCATATGCTGAGGAAGGAAACACTTTCCACATGTTTGTTAGACCTTGAGAATAAATGGAAACATAACTTTGTTTGTTCCCAATTAAAGACAGAGTAAGATATCTTTTAATTAAGGGCCCCAAAAATCCATTTGTTTTCTCCTAAATTCTTTTTCCCATTTTATTTTTTTCTGGTTTCTGTGTTTTATGATTGAATTCAAATTTATCATAAAAATGGTGTCTACTTAAACGGATTAATAAAACTTGAACAGTTTGAAATGTTATCAAATGAAATAAATTTACAACAAAACACTGCATTTTTATTGTCAAGTAAGATGCTGCACAACAGAACTGTAAAATGTAGTGAAAAAATACCTTGGTTGTATGATATTCCTTAAAAGTAATAATATTATTATTATTTGAGAATTATGTTTTAGTATACAATGGTAACATATTTATGTCATAATTTCTTCAAGTAAAAACCAGACTTTTATTTTGACGGGTTGTCGTGAAGGTCTTTCAGTTTCAGTGTGTCTTTGACAGCAGTTTTTCTTAAATTAAATGGTGTAAAGCTGGTGAATTGACTCTCAGAGCAGCTCTGGATATTGAAGCTCATGTCCTCATATATTGAGACGCAGCCGCTGAAGAAGTCAGCGTCACGTGTGTTTGAGTTGGTGTATCAGACGAAAATACGCCATGCATTCACACAGAGACACTCAGAACATGAGTTATTAGCGGCATGCACTGACTGGATGCTGTTGCCTTTATTTCTGCTGTGATAGACTGTTTGATTAATCTATATCGATATAAAAATGTCCAGAGCTTATCATTGTTATTGACATAAATGTTATTGTGATCTTGATATGATATTGCCCAGCCCTACTGATTTTTGTATCATTGTTTTGCTATAATGAAACGATGAGACAAAACAATGAAACAAAATGATACAATGAAACAATGGAACAATAACACAACAAAACAAAACGATTAAACAATATGATACAATGAAATAATAATACAGCGAAACAATGACAACAAAACGAAACAATGGAACACTCCAACAAAGAACAACAAAATAATGATACAACAAAACAACGGAATGCTACAAGGCTACAACGAAACAAAACGTTAGATTGTGAACATAAGAACATAACAATGACACAACCAAACAATACAACAGAACAATGATGCAAAAAACTGCTACAAAGTAACAATGCAATGAAACAATAACAACAAACGATAAAAATGAAACAACGGAACACTGGTCATTGTTTTGCTATAATAAAACAAGACAATGAAACAAAATGATACAATGAAACAACAAAAAGTAACAATAAAACAATAGAACACTGATGCACACAAAAATGCACACAAAGAAACAAAGCAATGATACAACAAAACATTGAAACAATGATGAAACAAAACAATACAATAATACAAAGAAAGCAGACAGTGACCATAGGCTGCAGTCAAGATTTTAAAAATGACATAAAATCATCATAACATCTGTCCATATGACCCCTGCTCATTATTCCAAGTCTTCTGAAGTCAAATAATAGTTTTGTGTTAGAAACAGACCGATATTTAACATATTATTTGCTGAACATTTCCACCCGTGCAGCAGCTCTCAAATATAACTTGTGCTTTTCTACATTAAAACATGTTTCATTAAGTCAAGAGACCTGTGAGAACCAACGATATTTGACATCACTTACATCCAACCTGGAGCCAATGGCATATTTGAATATGCAAATGAGTTGCCGAAGATTTGCAGCAATTAATGATTAAAGTTCAGTCTGTTCCTTAAATAAAGCATCATATGACTCTAGAAGAATATAGGGCACATACGTCATATAAACTACTTTCTCTACATGGAAAAGAACAATCCAGACATTCTGCTGCTGTACAAACACACGTCTCATTTTCAAACACCTGCTCTTCTTTTAGTTCATCTTCCTCTGGTTTTCTTTGTCTTCTGCTGTCAGTCGTTTGTTAGGGAGTGTTTTTTTTTTGTGTGTTTAGAGATGTACATGCCTTATTGATGGAGTTCAGGCCTCTCTCAACCCTGTGACAGACGGAATCATTTTATATTTTCCTGCATATGAGATTCAGCCGGTGAGGGCGAGAGAGATGGAAGGAAACGACAGATGAGGCGCTGGAAGCTGTCTGAGGGGAAGTGAGGACACGCTTTACCAGCGGACACACACACACACACACACACACACATTGCGTGATGCCTTTCACAGCATACCGTGATGGGATTCTGTCTGAAGGACATTTTGCTTTTGTGTTTTATTTATTTAGATTTTTTCATAACTTAGTGTGTGCAGTTAGCAGAGGGTTTAATATGGTGAATCTCACAGAAGCATGTAGAAATCAAATAAATATGTATTTTTTTATATACATTTTTTTAGTAATATTTATATTTATTAAAATAAATAAATATATAAGCATTAAGATAATGTGACTTTTTTAAATTCTCATTATTGTGATGCAATACTTTAGAGTTTTTTTGTAAGTCCCATTTTTCTCAAAGCAGATTTCATGACAGCAATACTGAATATTTACTTTATTTTCCTTTACATTACAGTAATAAGAATGGCTTTTTTCTTTATAGTAATGAAAATTTAGAGATGAAAGTGTGCTAATTATAATGAACAGAAGGTTGCAATATAAAGATAAACTAATTTTCGAAAAAAGTCTTAATTGTCTATAATATAAAATAATTTACATTATATTTCTATTACAATTAATCATATAAATAAAACACTTCTCTTACTTTATAGTAATGAGAATTTTATAATGAAAAAAATATTGCATCTTAATTTTCTAAAAATGGGCTTCATTTTCTATAACAAATATAAATTCAAAAATGAATTATACATGTAACATTTTTGACAAATAAATATAAATGTTTATAATTAAAAATTCTCTCCTTTTTTAGGATGTCTTTCACATTATAGTGATGAGAATTTAGGATGAACATATACTTAATTGTAATGAAAAGAATGTCGCAATACAAAGAAAACGTAATTTTCTGAAAAAGGGTTTAACTGTCTAATATAAATATAATTTATACAAATACAAAATTAAAGCAAACAATTATACAAATAAATATAATTGACTATTTCTGTATTATTATTATTATTATTATTATTTTGGGATGAAAATTAAAAGAAACTGAAAAAACAATACTATTTCTGTATTATTATTATTATTATTTTGGGATGAAAATTAAAAGAAACTGAAAAAACAAAACAAAGCCAAAAGTAATACCTGTACTACTATATCTAGTTCACTGTACAAAGAACCACACATTCTAGAAAATCTGAAATGAAGTCTCTTAGACTGTGAACTGATCTGTGACAGATGCGTTTGTCTAAATTATATTTAGGTTCAGAGAAAGCTGAGTATAACAACTGATATCAAATCACTCAAAAATCTGTCAGAAATCCCTGAAGCCATTTCTGTCGGTCTCTGTAGTTACTGCACTTTGAATTCGCAGGTCAGTGCATGTGTTCAAGAATACATCAAATGTAATAAATCAAAAAAAGTACATAAAAAATAGAGTATTGATCTCATG